AGCGTTATTTGCCCCTGAGGCTCCAGGAGGTCCCATCACGTGCCTGTGGTCACAGCTGGCAAGTGGCAGAGCTGCAACTGCACCCCAGCCAGCCTGACCGGTCGTGTGTGTGTGTCTGGGAGGCAGGTGCTGGGAGGGCTTATCACCTATGAGCTGCCTGGGGGATAAACTGGGGCTGGAGAAGAGGCTGACCATGCCCTCAGCAGTCAGGGAAGGGCTAGTCAGGGGCCGGAGGGAAGGGGCCCACTTGAACCTGGGTGCTGAGCTCAGCTGGAATAGGCTGTGTGCTTCTCTCACCTCCCAGGGACAGTGGGATGTCGACCCGGCCTGTGGGGTGTTGGTAACCGATGTCTGGGCTGGTTGGCATTGTATTTGTGGAGCAAAGCTGAACACAGCCGGTGCCCCAGCAGCAGCAAGGGAGCAGCCTGGGGAGTGCCTGCGGAGGTGGGGTGGCTTAGAGAGGCCCCATGTGCAGCAGAAAGCCTGGCTTCTGACTCACTGGCTGACCTCGGGCAAGTCACTTCTCTGGTCCTGGGTCCTACTCCATGGGTAGATGAGGGGTAGGACCAACTGGTCCCTGAATTTCCTTCCAGTTAGAATGGAGCCTCCAGTCTGCCTCTCTCTGGCAGTGGGACCCTGCTCTGGAGCCTCAGTTTCTCCCTCTGTAAAATGGAATCAGTGATACCAACTCTCTCTGCCTCCTGGGATTGTTGGGGCAGGCATGGGGACACGAGCAGGAACCGTCCTGGGGGCCGTGCTATTATTGGATGAGGACACAGAGAAGGGGCAGAAGAACCTGGACGACATGGCTGGAGCCAAATGTTGCACCCATTTGGTGATAGGCCTAGTGCTGTTTGGGCTTGGTGGGGGGTAGTGGAGGGGGCAAAAGAGAGAAGGAGGCAGCAGGGGGGACAGTGTGACCATGTCCGGCTTGTTTCTCAGCACCGGGGACAGTACCAGCGTGTGGCGGGGGCTCTGCACACGTTTGCTGAATGGATGATAGCGGGAGGATGGCTGCCCTCACCTCCAAGATGCCCCGCCTCTTGTCCTCCTTGTCCTCGGCGAGCACGTTTCCGGTGAGGAACGTGTAGCAGTCACAGCAGACTCGGTTGGGCCTGTTGTCATCGTACTTCAGCTTGGCCCGGTAGTCAGAGCATCTGGCACACACCACCTGCGAAGGATGGCCGAGAGGGGGGCGTGGGCCTGAGCGAGGCCTGGGAGGGCTGTGCTTGCACCTGGCCGGGGGCAGGGGTAAGAACAACCAGGGCCGGAAGAGAAAGAAAGCTGCAGCAGAGGCTTGGAGGCAGAGAGGGGGAACCTGGAGGTGGTGCAGTGAGAAAACTCAGACTCTGGGCTCCCCCAGCCCAGACTTTGAGACCTAGCCCTGCTGCAAGTGCCCTAACTTCTCTCCCCTTCAGATTCCTCTTCTGTGAAAGAGATGAGATCATAACT